CTGTGGAATAATTAAAATTCTTGTTTCAAATTGCATGAACAGAATTTCTGATCTGACAATGAATTTTAGTGTGAACAGGACATTAAAATCAACATTTTCCTTAATAACACAAGAGTCAGATCAAAGTAACGCACTTCCATCTCTGGATACAAAAACATGCTGCTAAGCATTCTGGGAAATGGTTGTCTTTTTCTTCTTTCAGTTTTTTTTAGGTGCAAACTTAAAAACGCTAGTTCATTAAACAATAAGAGGTTTGACAAACTCACACATTCAGGTTCAAAATCTAAAACTTGCTAAATTTATTTGACTTGCAGAGTAGAAGATAGTAGACACAACTAAATGCGGCTGAAATGTTTTACAGTGCGTCTTTGAAACTCACCTCAGCTGTGTGTGTGTGTGTGTGTGTGTGGGGGGGTGTGTGTGTGTGTGTGTGTGTGTTAGTTACGGCTGATAAACACAGACGCATTCTGAAGTTTAATAAGGATTACAGAAAAGGTAAATAAATACTTCAGTATTTGTGGTCGCGAGGCTGAAGCTGATCCCTGAAATCTGCTGGAGCCTCAGGAATCCTGGGATTTTCCCTGAGGAGAAAAAATATGGTTTTTAATAGATCTCTTTTTCATTCTTTTATTTGTTTCTTCTCTTCTGCCTTCCTTCCTGCTTTTTTCTCCCCCTTCCGCTGTCATCGGTTTTACAGGCTCCCCTGCTGGGGGCATGCCTTTCATGACACATGTTAATACGCTCGCATGTAGCCGTGCATCCTGTTATTATCGGTCTGCTGCACATCATTTCCTGTTTTCCTTTCTTCCCAGTGCTGCACTGAAATGCAGAACTTAAATGACTCAATAAGCAGAGATGATCAAGGATGCACCTCCTGATCTTTTGCTTTTCATTGATATCTCTTTGCAGGCTATGAAAGCAGTTTCCATGGTGACTTTGCTGAAAATGGATCCTTTTTGTTTACTTTGCAATTTTCATATAAGGGTTATGTCTGATCATGTGAGGTTTCATGTAATATAGCAATATTAGATGTTTTTATCTGAGATAATCTGAGATTATGGGAATGAGCTTCAATAAACATCTTTAATCTGCAGAGAAAATGCTTCATTTTTAAAACAAATACGTCCAGCAATATTAGCTTAATTATTAAGCACCAAATCTTGTGTGAAAAACAAACAATTTAAAGTAAATCTTTCATACAAACTCCAAGTTTTTTGCTTCTTTATTTGCTAAACACTGCATCAGTGCTGAAGGATGAGCTGCAAAAATAGACCTTGAATAAAGTAATTTCTAAAAAGAAAAAGCTTTTATAGTCTTTCAGCCTTCATCCTCTTTTACCAAAGAAACAGATTACACACACTCAGCCAGGGAATGAGTCATATTAGTTTTAAACTTTAATAAAAATGTTAAACATGTAATGTTTAAGACTCTTGTCATCTCATGTGGTTTGGTTTAATGTAACAAATATTTAATATAAGCCAGTTTTGTCAGTTGTTTGGCATAGTTAGATATAAATCAGGATAAATTTTTACTTAAATTTGTCTGCAAGAAAAAGCCAAATTCCTTCTGGATAAAAGTAGTTTGGTCAAAAGATATAAATAATATTTGGTCTCGATGATAAGAAACATGTAAACTCCAAACACGTTCATCATTTATGCCTATAAAAGTTAGAAAACAGTCGTAGTTAGTCTATAATTATAATTTTGACCCACTAAAATCCAGCTTGTTGGTATTTTATCTCCTTTTCTCCAGAATTAGCACTTTGTAGTGCATGAAAGAAAAAATGATTTCTGTTTATTCATGTATAGGCTTAATTTGCATTGGCATAAATCAATAGTTTCTCCTATTGACAACAAGATCAAATCTGAGAGTTTTTTTCCTTTACCGATTTTCCTTTCACTGGGAAAACAATAATTATCATAAAGTGATGAAATGATGACTGCCAGATATATTTTGACTACAAGCTGAGCTTTCTCTGCATGCATTCATGCTGCTTTGTTGCGTTTTTGAGCCGCTGCCTGCTGTTATTTCTCCAACTCTTCTAATTTTCCCATGAGAGTTTTCAGTTTTATCCGTTTTCAGATTTAGATTTGATATGCGAGACGTTGTCTCAGAGCTATTTTGGAACAAACTCGCTCAAATGGATAATAATTTTAATCTCTGGTGACCCAAAGTGTGGTAGGCAGCTGTCAAGCAAAGCTGGACTCAGAACATTATCACTTTGTCTGATTTGGAAACAAGACCTTCGCTGAGAAACACGATCTTTGTAAACTGAGAATCTGAGAGTTAATTAAAGGCTTTCAGTGCTGGGTGAAGTTTCTGTCTGATCCCAGACCAGCAGGACCCGGTCCTCAACATTGCAGCATCTTTTGGCATCAGATGCAGCCGCTAGTTCCCACAATCCCCTTGTTGCCATAGCCAGATCGTGTTTGTGTAGTGCAGGGCGTGGACTGTGTGGTTACCGAGTTGGTGGCTGATTGTATTAGCGAGCAAAGCTGGTTTGGAACAAGAAATAATGTGACTCATAAACTTCTCCTCTGTTGCTTCTCACTCACTCCGTCTTTCTCTCTTTTGATCCACCCACCCTGACACCCTACAGAGGCGAAATGATGCGATGCAGGCTCCGCTGCAGGATGAGGCATCCGCCTGCAAGATGATCAAAAATTACAGGAAATGGAGAAATTTGCACTCTCAGGCGATTCTTTATTAGACATCCACTAGAATCTGTATTTATGTAAAACCGTCACATGGAATGAAGAATGTAGAGTAAAATAATTTTGTTTTGGGAAATTTAAAACCTTAAAAGATGCAAATATTAACTGTAACTTTAATTTTACTTTGAAAATGAGCCAAATAGATTAAAATAGATTATCCTTTTATCTAGGTAACGCATTCTCACTGAATTTTTTTTAGATGTATACATAAGTTTAATTTATTCAGTGATGCAAAAACATAATTTATAATACAATTTTCTACAGAATTAAAATTGAAACACTAACCAATGTAAAAACCATAGAAACTCATTAAAAAATCTTAATCATAAGATCTTTTATTTATTTACCAAAAAGCAATGCCAAACATAATTGGGCTGGAATCTATTTGCAATAAGTTTTACTTTTAAATAATATTTAATTACAGTATTTATGAACTTTCAATTATTAATCAGTTCCTTTTTGTCTCTTTGGGATGTAAATACTACAAAACCAGGCCTCTATTCAAAATGGGAAAGACAGGGGAACATGCTATTTAGGTAATTAGGATGTATTTGGATCTTCATAAGTGACAACAAGGCTACCAGAAAATAGCTTTTCATTTTAATTTACCCATTTATACAATCAGAGCATTAATCAAAATGAGACACTGCAAAAGCTAAATCTTACCAATTAATTTTGGTCTAGTTTCTAATGTCTCAGTACACTTAAAAAACACAAAACTGGATTACAAGTAATTTTTCATAAAGATATAGGAGCAATTTTTAAGTCAATAATTCCTTACTGTTGATGAAAAAGTACTAATTTCATTCGCAGGTTTTTTCACTTGTAACAAAATATTTTTCCCACATTATAATGAAATAATACGACAGTAGAACTAATACGTTTTTCATCCATACTAAGAAATAATTTAATTATTATCAGCTGAAAAGTTGCCTGTAAGTTAGTTTAGACTTATTGTAGGTGAACTCGTGGTGCGTTCTCACCAAACGCGTTTTGTGCGTCAAAATTACTCTCTGTGGACGTTGAGAAGAGACTCCTTTTCATACGTGACCTTCGACCTCTTCTACCGTCTGCTGCCTATTTCGTCTAAATAAATAAGTTTGTTTAACGTTTATTTCCTGTGACTCACTGTTTTTGCTGGATGGATTTGGGTAGCTCAGATGTGGGGGGATTATTCTCAAGTAGTAAAAGTTATAACTTGTCGTTTTCCAGGTCCTTTCTTTTCCTGTCTTTTCCTGTCTCTGCAGTCATAACTTGATTAGGACGTTGATTATAGGACGAGAACAAACAGTGACAATTAGTTTATCCGCCGTTTATTTGTTTTTCTCTGAGATCATGCTGCAAAATGCACCTTTACGGGCTGGTTGACGCTCTGCGTTGAGCGGCGAAAGTTCAGGTTTTTCAACTTCAGCATCAGATGCGCTTGATGCGTCCAACGATCAAAACGCTTGACGCTATAAACGCAAACCAGACGTGCCTGACGCTCAAAACGTGTTTGGTGCATCATAAGATATTTGCACTAGAAACTAGACAAAAAGTGCTTGGTAAGATTTTGTGTTTTTGATGTGAATCTTACCATCTGGGAGGTAAAAATAAGACTGGTGTTTTGTAATACAAGTCCTAAACAGAACTCTGTCGCATGGTTTGGATTGTGCATTTGGATCAACATTAGCAACACACAGTAAAGCTGTCGGAGTTTAGATGAACTAAATTCTCACAATACATACGTTGTTTATGGTTTCTCCTCCTGGATAATTTAATCTGTGACTCATTTTACAGCTAACAGAGCTTAGCAACGCTCAGCTTTTGAAAACACATCCATCCTCACAATTCGACTTGTGAGAAAAAGATTAGTCTGCTGCCTTCATGTGAGTGTGACTCATCCGTTCAGTAGCAGCGGCTTCAGCGTTTCTACATGAACCTTCTAGAGAAAACCGTCTGTTTTCTCCCAGCTGTTGATACCTGCATTCCTCGCCACAAGTCTCCGTCATGTGAATTGTTCCATTTCCGGAAAACAGAGTTGCCTTCAAATTAAAGCTTGTGCCAGCTTCAGATCAAAGGCCAGGAGGAGAAAATCAGCGGTTGCAGTAATGGCTGGTGCAAGTTTCCAGAAACTGTGTTTGATGTGATGGAACTAGTTGTATATTTTGTGCATAAAGTGAATCGTCATGTGCTTCATGAGCGTGTTAGAACCGGGGCAGTGAAGCAACACATGCACAGCTAAACTGTAGCAGGAAGACATGCATGTTTATCTCAAACTGTGTGTGTGTGTGTGTGTGTGTGTAGTTATGCAGGTCACGTTGTTGGCAGCACTTTGAAAGCCCAGAAGGAGAATCCAGAGACGTCTATACGCCACACAGATCCTGCCCTGAAGGAGGTGAAGCAAAGGCTGGCGCGGCTAACGCAGGTAAAACGACACCAAAATCAGATTTTGCTCTCATATTAAAGCCGATTTCTGCATTTCCAGCTTTGCACCTTATGGTGTAATTATAATATTTGTTGCACAGATGAATCATGGCGTCATGTGAACCCATGTATCAGCCACAATGAGTCACACTAATGATTGATTATTTATGCCAGGATTTGAAAGACAAACAGAAATGAAGAGGGAAACCTGGAAAAATACAAAAACTGCTTTGTGTTCTTTCTAGTCCAAGTATCTTATTACATTGGAGTCACAGTCAATATTGTGATTGATTATTTAAGACAGAATTTGAAAGAATAGGATGTAAAAAACCCAAGAATGAAAAAGTTGTCTGGTTCTTTATACACACTAAATCTTACCAAGTATTTCTGTCTAGTTGTTTTCTTACATTGGAAATAAAACAAAACTAACTTACAAGTAAGTTTCCAGCAAAATGTAGGAGCTTCTTTTAAGTAAATAATTTATCAATATTGTTTAAGAAAAGGTTCTAGTTCACTGGCAGATTATTTTAGTTTAGAAAACATTGTTCCCATGTTAAGTGAAATAATCTGCCAGTACTTTTTTTTTTATTAAAAGTATTATTTACTTAAAACAAGTTCCTATATTTTGCTGAAAAGTTACTTGTTTTGTTTTATTTCCTGTGTAATAAAACATTTGCACTGGAAACTAGACAGTAATATTTGGTAAGGTTTTGTGTTTTTGCAGTGTATGGATAAAGAACCTGACATTTTCATTTTTTATTTTTTTTACATCCTAATTTTTCAAATTCTTGCATAAATAATTAACACGTGAAACAGTTGAAGCTTCTCAGCTTCTTTTTTCAATAGCTTTTTTAAACATTGGAAGAATTGCTTGTCTGCTTTATGACGGCTGCATCCTTCTTTTATTTGATGGTTTATTCTATTTTTTCTTTTTTTATGGACTACTTTATTCTTTTGTCTCCAAATAAAGATTTTCTTTCTTGTTGAAACAACCGAAAGAGTTAAATTAACAACGATTCTGAGACGAACCAAATCGACTCGTCACAGCGTTGATTTAACTCGGCCGAATTATCCTCACCGCAGAAACACAGAAGTATTTTTTCCACTTCCTAGTGTAAATATCTTAGCATTCTTTGACAAAACTAACTGGACAGTAACTTTTCAGCAAGATAAATAAGCTTGTTTTAAGTCAGTAATTTTTAACTGTTCTAAGTGAAAAAATCAGCCAGTGGAAATATAACGTTTTTTAAATCTCTGTTATGACAGTTTAACGGTGGATTTGATGTTTACAACAGCTGAAAAAGGGACAGAGGGCACAGACACGGGAAGAGTGGGAGACTTTATGTGTTAAATTGAGATAGGAGTAATAGAAAGCTGACCAGAAAATAAAATAAAATGAGGAGCATTGAGGCCGGGGCGGACACGGCCGCTCATCCTGCTGCTTATTTCTAAGGTACTAAAATATTTGCACTGGAAACTTCACACCAAATCTTACCAAGTATTTTACTGCAGATATCTCAGTACACTTGAAATAAGACAAACTAACTTAAAAGTAACTTTTTATTAAGATAAGGTGACTTGTTTTAAGTCAGTAACTCCTTAACCTGCAGCCCAACGCCTGCGTGCCGTTTTCCCATTACATTTTCCGTGGGTGACCGTTAAGGGGTTAATATTGATGGAAAAGTTCTTATTTCATTGACAGATAATTGAACTTATAACAAGACATCTTTCCCATGTTATAAGTTAATTTATCTGCCAGCAGAACAAATACTTTTTCATCAGTATTAGGTAATTATTTACACAAAACAAGCCTCTATATCTTGCTGAAAAGTTACTTTTAAGTTGGTTTGTTTTACTTGAAGAGTGCTAAAATATTTGCAGTGCAAATTCGACCATTTCTGGTTAGATTTTGTGTTTTTGCAGTGCTGCCAGTGGAGGCAGGGTGATGCTTTAGGCATTCAGTCTTTGACACAAATCTCCAGCCGAAGCATCGCAGCAGGTTCATCGGCTCATGGAGGGAATATTCTCTGAGGGTTGCAACCTCTCAGCGCTGCAATCTATCCACAAAGCAGATATGGTTCAGGAAAAGTTTAAAGGGCATCAATACATTTGAGATTTTGTCAAATTTCCCAGATCTCAGTCCAGCTGAGTGTCTGTGATGTGCTGAACAAACAAGTCTGATCAATAGAGGCCCCACCTCACAACCTGCAGGAGTTAAAGGAAATGCTGCTGGCGTCTCGGCGCCAGATGCCGAAGCAAACCTTCAGGACCGGAGTCGGATCTGAGCCTCGACCCGTCGGCGGCGTCTTGGTAACGTCTGGCAGGTGATCATAATGTTACGCCTGATTGGCATGAGGCGAGCTGTCAATCGATGCTCAATGAGAAATGAGTTTCAACCAGCAGAAAATCCCTGGAAATGAATCTGCAGCTTTGTTTCCTGTTCTGGGGAGTTTCTCTTCTTATTTTTATTTTTTTGGCAGCTGCATTTGAGGGCAGATCTGCAAACACAGCAGACGCATCGCCTGCAATGTCTCCAGATCCACAGAGCCACAAATGTCAGCTGCAGTTTTAGATATTTGTCCTATCAAAAATACAACAAATTTCTGATCTCAGGTAGAATAAAATCAGCAGATGCATGAAAGATGTTTCAAATGTGGCGTTGGTAGCCTTGGTTTTTAAATTTGGTCACCTGCCACAAACAAAATGTAAATTTAAGATGCATCTTGGGTACTCTGCATCTTTGTATTTAAATTAATAAATACATTCTTTATTTGAATTTATTTTATTTACAAATAAGTGAATTTTATAACAGAAAATACTTACTTTTATATAAATCTTTTGAATTTATTGTAATATAGTGCAATCTTTTTGTAAAAAACTCAGAGTGATGCACTGATGTTCTTTGATAGCAACATATCAAATCACAATATCAATGTGTGCAGCACTGCTGATGAATTGTAATCAATAATCCTTAACAATATTATTGCATTTCATGAGACAAAAGGTCCAAACATTAAATTTTATGTTGGTTTATTAGCCAAAATAAACAAATTGAATGACAAAATGCTTGGATATGAGAACAGAAACTTTACCAAGGAACAGAAAGTTACAATAAAATGATAAAGTTTGACTTTAAAATGAAAGTCAGACGGTACATGTGGCCTGTTAGGGAAATAATATGGCAATTAATAACTCCCCACTTTGATTCTCAATATTTATTCTGTTGGCTTTATCTAAAATTTTACTGATGTCCTCTTGTAATTGGATGCATTTTAAAGTATGAAAAAAGATAAGGCAATGTCACCTTAGACGCTAAGCTTTTTATATTTGCTGCTATCAGTCATTATAAAGATAACTGTGTGATAAGGTATCAGTTCCAGGTCAGAACCGATTCACTTTGTAACTCCTGAATGTCGTTCAGGTCCTCAACTTAACACATTAAGCTCAATTTCAGAGCAGAGGAATTGATCAGGGAGTTATAAAAGTGATCAATGTTATTAATAGAAGGATTATTTTCCCGTCGAACATGTTTAGGGCTGTAATTGCAAACGATGGGACGTCGTAGGCTGAGCCTCTTCCCTCTGCTTTTGAAGCTCTTCCTGTTTTCCCTCTAATCTTGTTGCTAGGTCCATTAATCATGCTGCATTTAACACATGTAACTGCAAAGTCAGCACTCACAGGGTGCATGTGTGGTTTGCAGCGGTTTTGCCATAAACACAGAAATGCACACTACACACGCAGCACATAATCATTTATGTATGAGATTTCTAGGGCTCATTAAATCGATGCAAGTGGTCCTTTTTGTTTTGGAGAACATTTAATCTTATGTAAATATTCTTGTGTGAAGCATTACGTTTTTCTTTTTTCATAAAAATGAGAAAAGTTCAGTTTTGTTTGTTGTAACGGGTCACAAAATGGGACTGAAAAATACTTTTACACCTTGGAAGGGTGTTTTCTTAGGGAACATGTGGGATTATTTCTTTATTTTGCGTTATCTTTTAGTTGCTGGATGATTCAGACGGGTATCAGGAAATGGATTTCTCCTATAATCGCGTAGAGGCGATCGACATAAGTAACTATCTGGAGCTCAAGAGTCGGAGGAAAGCTTTCAAAAGCCTGGAGAAGACAATCATTTAGTTTCAGATTGGGTCAAACATTTAGGCTCAAAAGCAGCATTAGATGGCTGCAATGCTATTTTAAGTAATTAGCCTACGATAACGATGCTATCGCTAACAACAAGCTAACCCATGTTATTTCTGTGAGCTTGGATCTCCTGGTAAATAATTTATTTAGCTTCTGTAAACCCAAATTCATGCTGGAGTTGTTTGTTAATGTTGACAATGTAGGTCAAACATCCTCAGCGATCAACAGAAATCAAATTAAAAACACGGTTCATTTGAATGCTCCAGTAAAATATCTGAAAATGGAGTTTAAACGATGCGTTTCCTGTCAGAAAGAGGAAACTCACCTCCGGTTCTTAGCTGTGGATTGTTGATACACTTTCCTGCCTTTTTTCTGCAAGAATAAACCAAGTTAAAATCAGTTTGTTGAGAAATTTTTAATTGACATGTGTGACCGTGTGTAAAATAGACCAGGGTGAATTTGCCAATTGCGAGGGAACGCAAAAGAAAAATGCTTCCCCATGTCCCCTCCAGGCCTCCGTATTATCTGCGCCACTTTATGAAAACAGAGAATTAAATGTGTATTTTAATGAGCTTTTATTGCAATTTAGAAGTTTAGTGTTGCATTATTATCGCGCTCACTGGCGCAGCGGCATGTTTTTAAAGGTTAAAGTTAATGCATGCCATTCATTAATTATCATTCCTGTCTGTCATTTGCCATTTATATTCTCCCACAACAAGGATGAGAGATGGCTGGAAATATGAAACAGGAGCATCTTTGGAATTTTAATCATTTCAGGAACCTTTTTTCCCCCTGTTTCTGGTTTGTATCATGTGTAATAAAGTCTGATTAAAGCTTCTTTATCTGCTGGGATTTTATTCAGTCATTTACAGCAGCAGTCAGGATTTGTGCTCAGACGAGCCTAATGAACCCAGAGGGAGCAGATTTTAGTTTTAACAAAGTGACAGTGGATGACAGGATGGGCTGGATCATTAAAATACTTTCATCCCACTGTTGTCAGTTCTGACTTCCAGGTTGTATCACATTACAGTAACGCAGTTTCTTCTTTTATTCAAGAAATGGATGATTTAGAGGGCAAGTAAACACAAATAGTGTTAAAATAGATTTTTAGTCGCATCTCACTCACCGGATTATTAAAATTTATTACCGACCTGCTGTGAAACTACTGCCATGTTTTGTTTTCTGTTATTACAAAACTCAATTTTATCTGATAAATCTATAAATAATAACCTCCGAATGTTTAGAAAACACAGAAGAAATTTAAAGATTGAAAATATCACGCTGAGTATTGATAATCTGTATGATTTGTTTCACTTTAGTTGAATTATTGAAATAAATTGTCAGCAATGTTATAATTTATTGCATATATTGTCTGTGTTGCAACGCTCTTGTCTTATGCAAAAACAAGAAAATATTTTGTTATTGTAATATAACGAAAGATTTCTTAAAGAAAATATAAAATTATTTGCGAATAATTCAACCACAGAACTTTGTTCTTATAGTTTCCATACATCAAGGTTTTTTTTTTTTTGGCTCTGTATTAATAAAGAACTTAAGTAATAACACATTTTACTATGTAAATTCTAGAAAATAGCTAAATACATATTATTTACGTTTTTGTCATCCTTCTTGCTTTTTTTGTTTCCTTAAAGCAAAACTGCCTAAAATTAGTTTAAATTTTACAATAGTAGCAATTTACTTTTGTGAAAAAACGCACACAAAAAAACAAACAAACATTGAAACTTAAAACAAGAAGTCTTTTAAATCACGTGTAATAAGGTGATTTTGTCCTCTGAAAAAGGGCTCAGTATGTGGTTTCCATGGTTTCTCTGGTAAACAAACAGCCGGTGCAGAAACTGTGGAGCAGGCGTTGTACACTGTAAAACATTTTAGCACTTATAAAACTGAAAGGAGAAAAAGACAGGAGTGGGAACTGTTTCCCAGAATGCTTAGCGGCATGTTTTTGTATCCTGAGATGGAAGTGCATTGAGTTTTGTGTTTTATTAATGAAAATGTTTATTTTAATGACCTGTTCACACTAAACGTTCTTGAGCCGAATTCATTGTGATGTTTAATAAAATTCATTATCACATCAAAATTTTGTTCATGCGATTTAAAATGAAAAATTAAATGATTCTACAGTAAAATAAGTAGTTATTTTAATAGTGAAATGGTTTAAATTGCAGCTTTAAGTTAAAACTCACAACCCAAGATGGTTGAACTTAGAAAACAACGTTTTGGACAACTTCTCGTTTGTCGTTAAATCTCCTTCATGAACTTTAGTTTCTGAGTTAAAGCCAAAACAGTTTTCTTGTTGACATGTTTCAAGGCAGCAGGTGGACTTTCATTTTCAAGTTAAATCACCTTCAGATGTTTTACAGTGTATGCTCATTTATTGTAGCCGCTGGACATTTTTGCTTCTTGGGCTTCCCATAAGAAGGGGATGATAGTCGAACCTGCACGTTTTCCTCATGAGCCAGAGGAGGAAACGGGGCGTAATGTGTTGGTGGGGTTTTTGGGATCTCGTCATGAGATAATGGTGAATCATCCACAGTGCGTCGCTCCATCTCCGGGTTTTCCCTCGGATCCTGGCGTTCCCACGGCTGCCTCTGTTTGCATCTCTTTTTATGTGCTCAGAAATAATAATGTTAAGTTCAGAGCTGTTTATGCTTGTCCTGCTTCCAGAGAGAACTTTGAAAAGTGCATTTTACTGATGTGCTGAGTTGATTTAGTCGATGAGCAGCGTGTGTGCTGCATTTATATTTGATATTTTATCCATCTCCACAGTGTCATGGCAGAGCTGCTGTCTCCTAAATTTATTCCCATTTGTATCATTTTGCCAGATTTCACCAGTTTGATTGCGCTGGTTTAATGTTGAACACATTAAAATTGGGTAATTTCTCTCTTTACGCCTCTCCTCTGTACAATTGTCATTGATCCATCAGGAATTTAGATGATTCTTGCTATGTGTTGTTAAAAAGCTAAAACATTTACAGCTTTGGAAAAAGTTAGAGCCCACTGCACTGAACCCCATTGAAACCCTGCTGCTTATTCCACCAAATACTGATTTCTGAACTCTCTCTGAGTTAAAACATTGGTATTGTTGTTTTTAAAAGCGCTGCATCTTTTTTCACCATTTCTCATTTTCTTGGATTTTTGCTTGGAATTTCGTGGAGATGTTGTCAGTAGAATAAAAGAACAATGTTAATTTTACTCAAACATATATTTATAAAAAGTAAAACCAGAGAAACTGATCATTTTAAGTGGTTTCCAGGTTTTTTCCAGGCCTGTATGTGTACTGGCATACATGCTTCTCTTGATTCTGGGTAAATTACAGGTTAAATTTAGACCAAAGTTAACGGGTTGCATAGATTCAGAGTCTAAATCATCTAAATCATTAAATTCAGATACATTTATCAATTGAACTGTTTTTGTTTCTCCTGTAACTTGCTGTCAACACCCAGCCAGAGTTTCAGTATCTTATTTTGCTCCCCAGCTTTCAAACTTTTTACTGCAGAGCCGTTTGATGAAGTGCTAAGCTAGCAGGTTTACTGAGTTTTAATATGACTTGTTGGTTCAATACCATTTCAGTTTGTCATCAATGCAGAACATTAAGAAATGCCTGGAGGATCAGATTGAACATTTATAGTTTGAATTTCAAAGCATTTTTCTGCTTTGGCTACAGGAAATCTTAGCAACGTTTGAGATTTAATGCTAATCTGAGGTCCTGTTTGAACTACAAATGTTTTTTTGCAAACTTACTTCACCCAGGTGCTCTGCAGATTTCTAAATGAGATGCATTTAATTTCGGTTTTCAAAGGAGCTGTTGGTTGATCTCGGCTGGGCAAGCAGAAAGAGAGGAAGAGGGGAAGAGGACGGAGGGAGCGCCCTGACGGATGGAAGCGGCGGAGACGATTGTGATGATGAGGATGGCTGTGGAGCATCTGGTGAAGAGAGCTCTGGTGAGTCACATGTGCAGACAAACACGCAGACATGCATGTGGGAATAGAGGAATAAACAATGGGAAACACACACCCACACAGGGACAGACGTGGTGCAAACACAGTCCATTCACATGTACTTACATAATTAGCTAATTAATGCACAGACATATGGTTCGCTGGCCTGTAGATCTGAATATGCTGCAGCCTTTACATATTTAGTGCCAGCAGGGAAAACGCTCAGTCAGATTCGCTCCCGCTCCTCTTCCTCCTCCTCCTCCTCCTCGGTTTCTGCTGGTCTCTGCAGTTTATTTCTGTGTGAGTTTGGATAAATGATGAACGAACAACCAGGTCGCCCCAGCCACACAAATGTAAAAATAAACAGGGATTATTCATTTTCTTTTGGTTTATTCATGGTGTGTGAGCATATACATAAAACATGGCTGTCACTGGGAGATGAGCAGATCCAGGGAACCCCTCTGAGCTTTGATGCTGCTCCACAAAGGGAGCACAGCGAAAATCCTGCAATCATTTAAATTGTTGATGAGGAAATTATGCTCGGTATCAATGCTCAAATGCAATTTTTCACTTCTTGAACCCATATTCACATTAAAAATGAAACTGCGTTGTGGTAGATTTCAGAGCAGATTCAGAGTTTGCATTGGATCAATCAATAAAATTAACTTATTATTGATTAATTCAGCTTTTTGAAGGTGTGAAGTAAAGAAACTTGGTTGTAGCAGTAAGTGATGCCAGATGATCATCAGGGATGTCATGAGAGGAAGTAGAACTGTAAGCAGTTATTACGGGTTCCTGGCCCGACCCGGTAGGTCGGGCTGTTACCCTGAACCCTCCTGGACCTGAATGGATCCAGATTCTGGGCCATTCAGGATCCTGCATCATGAACCAGAGGTTAAATTTAGAGGAGACTGAACTGGGTCCAAAACAAGTGAAATGTCTGAACAAAAATAACAACACTAATGAAGACTCCATTAAAAATAATGTTGTACGATAATTATGTGCTGTGGTTTTTATACGGATGCCACAGCAGAAATCGATTATCTGGGAGTTTTTATATACCTATCATTTACTTTTACTTTTACTTTTCATGCTGGTGAATATTTTGGTAGGTAAGAAACTCAGCAGAAACTCTGCAGAAGAGATGGATTTAGTGAAGAGACACTAAAAGAAGCCTGTCCTTCTTGCTATAAATACAACTCAAATTAAGTCAATAAAATAAAAATAGAACCAACGCATAAGTTCAAAACCAAAGCCAGGCAAACAACAGAAAATTCTTTATTTCCCATCTTTAGAGATCAGATAATCAGAATGTTGTTAATTAGAATTTGCTGCAGTTTTAATAACCCTTCAGAGAAATCAAGAAGTAAAATTTTCAGGAAAGCAAATTCAAAGTTTGTGCAGCAGCAGAAATTCAGGAGACATAAAATGCTTCGCTCTGGAGTTTAGAGGGGCCACATCAAAAGCTGCGGTGGGCCAGATTTGGCCCTCGGGCCTCGAGTTTGACACATACGCCCTGACTGCTTGTAAAAAGATCACGACTTCCACTTCCAGGAATATAAAGGGAAAGTTTCGTTGTGGCACATGAACTTCTACAATTACTAAATGTAATTAAATGAAAGGGTAGATTTTGTAGCAGTTTGCTGAGAAGCAGCATCCTGAACATCTGGACAGAGGTGAAGTCAGTGGTTTGTTACTCGGGTGTTTGGAGCAAACCTTTCATGTCGCTTCATTGTCCTAATAGCATCACTCGTTCATGTTTTCTGTGTTTTTGGAAGACTTAGCACAGCTGAATAGAACATAAGTTTTATGGTCTGAGATCAAATGGCTTCAGAAGATTGATGGCCATAATTTGGGATTCATTCTCCTGCTGCTCCAGCTAATTACCTGTGACCAGAGGCCTCATCTCGCTCATTGTTAGGACAACCTGGTGGTGTCCTTTCTGCAGCGTGCAGCCGGGTTAAAGGTCACCGATGCATTCATCATCCCTGCGATGTCCTTGTCGTTGCTGAACATCTTCTTGCGGAGCGGAGTAAACCTCGAGTGGAGCTTTCTGATCCTGCATGACTCTGCAGCGAGGGTCAGTGGTTTGCAGTTGCTGGGATGCAAGCAAAGCAAAGCAAGAGGACGATTTTTTAGTGAGCTGGGGGAAAAATGCTGAAGGCTATGATAACCGAATTGCTGGTGTTTTCAGATGGGGCTGGATTTTATTTTCAACATGACTATCTGTGCTGCCTTATTTATGTCTTAATAACATGTTTGGACCATGTGAGTTCATAATTTTGTGGTTTACAGTATTTCTGTGCCCATAAGGTGTTGACATTCTGTGGATGTATTAAATCATCTAAATCATGGTTGTTTTACTGCTTGGGTAGAAAAGTACAGCCTCTAAAATAGGGTTAGGGTGGAGTTTCGGTTATTCTGTTATTAGCTATGACTAATATAATAAAACATAAAAATGAGTTGGCTTTTTACATTTTTAGTGCTATGCTTAGTAAACGTTGCTTTTAATTTATTTAAAAAGTTTTTAGAGTTGAAACCAGACTCATCCAAGGCTTCACTGTCCAGATGTGTTGTTATAATCACACACTTCATGTTACACATTGTGAAAAAACGCTTCCAGGATCATTTCTCAGCAATTCCCTTTTGCAATAAATTCAGTTTAGAGCAGCTCTTCACAACTCGTTTGCGTTTAAATGCTTGTTTTCCGTCCGTGCATCCCTCCGTCGTCTAACGGCTCTTAAAGTGAGGCATTTGCTGCTACATTTGTCAGAGACTCTCCGCTGACCTTGTTGTGTCACATCCGTGGAAACCCATTCCTCTTGCTGAGATGGATCTGGTCCATTGGTTATTTGCAGGGGGAAATTGGTGGCGATGATTTACCGAGCTTGTGTCTGCATATTAGCATCACATCTCTTGAACTCTTGTCAGTTTGTGAAGATAGAATCGCAGTAAAGAGGGACGGAGAGGAATTTTCTCCATTTCTCCCTCCTTGCTGGCGATTTGCATATAAACAAGCTTCTTATGCACTGAAACCAAAGTGGTGACACCAGCTGCACTGGACCACACAAATCACACTGATAAGCATGGGCATGTGGTTTATTTTATTTACTTGGGTAGTTTATGTGTTTGCAGCACATTAAATCATGAGCTCCATGTTAATTTTAGAGAAAAAAATGCCATGAAATGAATACATATGTGGTCATTTAATAGAAATAATTTACACTTTAAAATCTTAAACATCTACCTGTCAGTCTGAATTGCCAAAATGTGGGAAGTTTTATTTTTTGAGTGAGGGAAAGGTCAGAAACAAAACTCCACCTGTATATCAGAAACAGGGAAAATAAAACCCACAGATTGCTGATTGTGCGTTTGTGTCCAACTTTAGTTGTAATTGTGTTTTTGTAGAGCTGAAACTGCAGTTTTTGAGTGTTATCTGTTTTGTTTTATAGATTCTTGCCTTCACACCAGATTTGGATCAGTTCACTACATCAAACGTTGAAGTGAAAATTGAAGTGTCTTTGCAGGTTCTTGGCAAAATCTAATGTTAGTGGACTAACATCTGAGTCTGATAAAAACAGATACACCAAAGCTTTTTAAGCCTAAAACTGTTTTCACTTAAATTGTACTTTTTTTTTGTGCAGAAATAATCTCAAATTAGAAAAATTTGAGATTTTTCATATCTTGTTAAATATTGTTTAAATTTAAGAATAATTTTTAGAAATTAGTTAAAATCTTATTTGCTCTTGGGTTTGGGGGCCATTAAGACTTAAACCATCTTGTGATCCTGGTTATTTATCTGTTGATAACATTTATTGATAATTTTGTGACCAAATATGTTTATCAGATTTTTCCAAGAACTTTTCCAGATTAAACATTTTGATTTCTATTTTTCAAGCCGTCCCTCTGCAGCACTTCTACGTTATTGCCTCCTCTCTTCTCTCGCCTCGGTTTTTCTTCGTAACACATGAAATCCTCAGACGGCGTAATTACTGAGCTGTTACCTGTGATGCTGTGACCTCCAGGTGCCGATTAGTCACGAAACAATCGCTGGCAGCAGTTTGGGAAAATCCCCAAACCGTTTCCCTGAAGCAGACCAGAAGCTGCGGGAGGAGAAATATTCAGGAATGCTTCATCTGACATCACAGAGAGGAACTGAGTTCATGTTTAAGACGGCCGCTCGATCTCTGTAACCATGGTTACCAGGTGGTCCAACTTCCCACGGGTCCCTTCATGATGGCAGGAGAGGAAGAAAGAGTTGCAGAGACAGAGGAAGGGATGAGACGACCAAGCAAAAAGTGGATTTTCTTTTTTTAGCAAATCGTCCTTTCGTCCTGTTTTGTCTTTAAATGTTCCCCTCTACACCTGAGAACAGATTTATCCGTGTTTTCCATCTTTATAGAGTCAGTAAAGCAATAAAAGTTTCCTGTTAGTGACTTTAAAACATTCATTAATGAACATTTCAATTGGAATGATCTGAGCTGTAAAATGATGTTTTCTTTGGAACTAAAAAACACTTCAGAAGATTTTATATGCAGACATGGAATATAAACTGTGTTTTACCGGTGAAACACACCTTTTCTGCTTCGTTTGATTTGTTGGCCGTGGATAATTTCTGCTAATATCATATAAACAATCAGCTGCCTGCCGCTGTGCAGGTTACAGAAATGGATCGTGGCACAAACGGTTGGCTTTTAGCAGTCATGAGCAATATTAGGTATAAAGGAATATTATCCAGTCATAAAAATGTAAAGGGAGGTTCAGTGGACTGAGGTCAAAGGTGATCACACTGAAAGTTTGTTTCCAATTTGCCTTTTATCCCACAGTTACTAATGATGTAACTGCAGCTTAGGTACATTTTCCATTCTACTCCAATGCTGGTGAAGTTGTTTTCTGTTCAAAAGTACAAAAATCTCTTTCAGCTTTAAGACTTTTTATTATGAGTTGCAATCAGACTTTTTTTTATTTTTGTACTGTAAACCCAATGAGTTTCTGCTAAGATAAACTCTAAGAAACAAACCAATGCAACTTTCTTCCGATGTTCTGATGACCAGTTCATTTCAGTGATGTGATTTACAGACCTAGAAAAACCTTTTGATTCTCTGATTTGAACATTTCAATTCAGACACAATTGACTCTGGGATTCCAAGGTTCTCCCAAAATAAATTTACAATAACGTTAATTCAATACTGTGTTACGAAAGATGTAATTAATATCTGCAGGCTCTGTTAAAATTTCTCTTTTCGTATTGTTTTTATCCTTTTTTTGGCTCAGTGACGCACTTTCAATGCTAACTCTGCCTGGTTCAAATAAATAAACACAATAAGAAACAATAAAGGGCAAGCATGAGGGGAGCAGGAGGTAACAGGCTGCAGAAGGAAAGAAAATCGATCATAAATGACGCGCTAAACGTTCATGCTTCCAGCATGAGGCTGAGGCTAATAAGCGGTGGAGCTAAATGGCAGATCCTCAGGGAAGATGCTGCTCATTAAAGTAATAAATATTCACTTTCCTCTTACTCATCGGAAAAGAATAGTGGTCGTCTGTTTTGCTCCACACCCCTGCAGAGATAAAAGCGGTGAACTTTACATGATATGTTTCACATTGCAGAAATCGCATCCTGTCAGCCGCGCTGCCTCCGTTATTCTGCACACCTGAGTGAGTTTGTTCACGCAGACCTCCTTAGAGTTCATCAGTTTGTTAGCGGCCCTCGCTGCTGGAAGCTGTTATTCAGCCTCTTGACCTTTTCAGAAAGCTTGCTGCCCTTGCTTTGTCTGGCTGCAACCTCCAGCAACACCTTCCCCGGCTGGGTTTGTTGTTCGGCCTTCAAAGAGCAACGCGACTCTGTTCTTTTCATCCACGTCTGATCAATCCGAGTCCCTCGCAGGCTTTAAGCCTAAGACTTCATCTCATTTTTTTTTCTTTTAGAGGTTTTATGATTCTTCTGGAGGCGGCGATTAACCTCCAAGAATACGACCTTGGGAAAACAGAGCAAAGCAAAGCAGCACAAGGTGCTGTTTATTTGAAAAGTGATCCAACTGTATGTGTAAACGCCCTAAAGAAGGGGAGATTTTTAATAAAGAGCCGGACACGGTGTTTCTGCTCCAGCGATTATTAATATCTCATTAACATACAAACATACATAACGTTATTAAAGTCGACACAGCAGTATGTTAGCAACGGTGCTAACAGTGGAGCTAACAAGGCTAATAACGAACTTTAACATTCAGAGCGTCCAAAAACAACTCATACTCTTTCTGACAGTTAACAAACAAACGTACAATATACAGGTGCGCATATATACATACTCATACCTAAAGAAGGGGAGATTTTCAATAAAGAGCCGGACACGGCGTTTCTGCTCCAGCGATTATTAATATCTAAGGAGGAAGTTCCGGTGCTCTTCACTATAGATAGCGCAAGCGCTAGACTCCCCCTGCTTGTTGAATCTGACCACGGCCTCAGCCAAATCAAACTAGTCAAGACTCTGAAATAACCAAATTTCAATCCATCACATATGCTGTGCTTCAGTGCTTTATTTCTCTTTCTAAAATGATAAAGTTATTAAATCTCCGTATGTTGTCAGTGCACGTTTTAAAAGCCGTCGAAATCATACATTCCTAGAAATAATCTTTCGACTTGGAAAAACGTTACAAGGATTCACATTTCCCTATGAATATGTTGATATGGAAAAACTGCAAAAACACAAAATCCTACCCAGTATTTTTGCTCTAGTTTCTAGTGCAGATATCTTGTAAGAGACTTGTTTTAAGTAAATAATTCCTTAATATTGACGACACGTGGGAAAAATGTTGTGTTTTACATCAGGGGTGTCAAAATCGTTTTCGTTTTGGGCCAAATCAAAGTCTCCTAACCAGAATGTCTGGATAAAACCTGTTCACCAACTGTTAAAATGTCAATTAATTCTTAAAATTAAATAATATATTGATTTTTGATCAGTTAAATCAAAAATGTCAAAGTGATACCATGCATAGCCCTGTCGCGATAAACGATAAATCAATTAATCACATGATAATTTAAACCTATCGACCTCATTTTAATTATCGGCTTTGTCGTCTT